CTAGATTCACCGATTCCATGGTATTCCGTAGCGTGTGGCCGTGCGTAAGTAAACGGGCACGTGCTCCTTCTCCTTTACGCAGTAACGACACTGACACGCGCGTAATTACATTCATGTCCGGGTCGCGTTCCGTGCATGCGCCACGGCGTCGTTAAACTTCGCGCTTCGACCGCGGATCGTGTTACCTAATCGCGGGTCTGATAAGCGTGGCCTCGTCGAACGATCAACATGACGAGGACAATTCCAGGCGAAAGGGGAAAGTTGAAGGAACAAGCTTCGGTACCATTCGACAGAGAAATCGACGTATCGAAAGGAGAGAATTAAGGAGAAAAGTGTTCCCTTTTTTTTTTTTTTTGTACCGACGAATTTATTAATGCTAGAGCAATGATAATTGTTGCAGAGGAAGGTTATTCGTCGAAGAAGAGTGACATGTTTGTATATGGTTGTTGCATGTTAACAGTAGAGTAACTGCAGTCGTTAATGTGTTTTTAAATATACTATACATAAATAATTATAATGAAGATCGATGAAAGTAGAATAGCTAACTGTATGTGTACGATCAAGTTTCGATATAAATAAAAATTAATATTGACTTTGTTAAGAGCATCGACATATTATTAATACGTAGCCGCAAAGGAAATAAAAGAAGATTTGATATTCGTAATTTTTATGGATATATGAATATGTATATTATATGCTAAACATCAGCTCGATTACAAATTTTCTGATTATATCTTCCATAAAAGCTACATTTACCATCCTTTTCTTTTAATGCTTCAGACAGGTTCCTCCTTTATATATTTCTACAAATATTTCCCTCTCTAGAGTATTAATTTTTCTCGAACGCTAGAAACTAGAAGCATCGAATTATTTGGAACAACCAGTAGCTTTACTTTGTATTAATGCGAGGTTGTAAGAAAACGATTGTCCGGTGAATACGCTCGGCAACCGGTTAATGGCCAGGGGCCATTTCACGACACCTTGATTCGAATCACGCTCAGAGGCAATACTTATTCTTGGTTTGTAAAATTTCCAGCCGTCGGCGCGGCCTGTTCCCCCGGATCGTTATTCAAGTTTCGAGGAACAGCTGTGCTACTCAAAGAGGGCCCCACGCCTCTTTTCTTATGGGGTTAGGTGCCACGTACCCGAACCAAACTAGTCTCTGGGAGAGTTTAGCCCGGAAGGCCTGTGAATCTTACGTCGCTTTTTAAAGAACCCTGGCACATGCATTCTCCCTTAACCCATACACTCCTTTTCCCTAGTCCAGAAGCATCAGCTCAACAAAATAGCCTGAGTCTACAATAAGCCATTTTTATAACGTGAGCTTTAAGCGTAAAATCTGAGCAATCGAATAATTTTGAAACTTAATTACGATCCAGCGATTTTCTGTAAATAATAACGAGGGAATTAATTTTTAGAAAACAGCGAATCAATATTTTCGCCTTAGTCGAAGAGGAAATTGAAATTTCAAAAGATTTCCAACGTATCTTCTTGTATTCCGAGGTTTACCTTAATAACGAAGGGATTTTTGACGAACCAATGAATTAGAAATTTGATGTCAGTCGAAAATGAGATGAGATCTTAGAAAAGAAATATAAATTTGGCGTTGAAACATCGAATACTCTCGGCAATGTAAACCCGCTACTTTGCTTTCGCCATTCAAATTTAACTCCATGTTTTGACATTTTCGATAACAACCCCAATTCAGGCATAATTCCTCCAACTTTCAAATAAAGCTATCGTTTAAACTAACAAGCGAATCTAGCTACGAAAAATCTAGCTTAAAATCTGATTTATCCAATAATCTGTAATAAATAAAAATTTATCCAACTGTACAAAAGAAGGTTGACTAACGTTGGTGACGAAGTTCCGATTTTCAACGTCAATGTCGTTTGTTATTAACGCACAAACACGATGATGGTACCCCGCTGGGGGTAGCCACCCACATGTTATATTAGTATACCGCTATAATATTTTACCAAATTACTGGACAAATTGTAAAATTTAAATAAATAAATAAAAAAAGAAAAAGAAACTAACGCACAAAGTGTCCGTTTTCTGTTACCTACCATTTGTAACGCCGTTTCTCTTACCGTCCTCCTCTAGCCGTTTCCATTTTCCCTGCTCAATAGCGTGTCCTCAACCATAAGTGTGGGAGACTTGGCCGCAGTATTATGCAACTACGCCCGAATCAGGCAGATTCGAACACGTGCCACGTTTCTGCGTCCCATCATCGCGCCTTTCTCTATTCGATCGAACGACTCGTCTCCTTGGTCATTTCGTTCGAGATCGTTCCATTTTCCACCAAACAAAACCATATGGCACAATAATTCCCCAATTATGTAATATCAGTAAATGGGAAACAGCTAGAAATTGTAGATCATAGATTTTTCTCTTACAGATAAAAGATCCCTGTGATTCTATACGAGAACTTTTAGTTTTTCATCGAAATCGGTTAGAAAAAAACATTATAGAAACACCTTATTAATCCTTAAACTCGTTAAAACTCGTCATTATTATTATTACTAAATAATTATTATTATTAAAACTCGTTAAAAAAAAAAAAAAAAAAAAAATAAAACACCTCACAGTTTCCAATTGATTAAAAGTAAAGAAACTTAAGCAATATTAAGAATGTAAATGTCATTCAGCCGATATAGGATCGCAATTTGTTTATAAAAAAGAAAAAGATAATAACAATAAAATTGAACAAGTGAACAACGCAACATTGTCGAAATCGCTTCAATTCGCTGTAAATTCGCGGAATCGATGGAACTAATTAAAATAAATTTCGTTATTATTGGCGCTCCAATCAATTATCCAAATCTCGAAATTTTACGCTGAAATTACATCAATGAATATCGAAAAGCAAATATTTATCCGCGGAAAAGGACACGCTCTGAGTAAGTTTATGGCGGCCAACGAGCATAATATAATCGCTTCCTGATGTGGAACGAATAAACGCTTTACAGCATTCCGATTGCAATTTCGCGGATTCCTCGTGCACACTATTGCTACTTATAGGCTTTCAGGTCGTTTGCACCTACGAAGCAAAATTTCATGTTAAATATAAAATCGAATTAATTATTTCGTATTTCCGTTTTAACTAATCATTTTAATTTCTGTTCTTCGAAAAGATGATGTAATTGCGCGGTGTTCGCTGCGAACGAAAATACAAGGAATGAAATTAATAAAATAATATTTTTTATTTCAATTATATGCAGAGTTATACGCAACGAGCGAACATGAAAAGACTCAGAAGTCGAAGATAATTTATTTAAATGTACACGATTATTTTGATTTATAACTTGTAGAAAAATTAAAAAATGAAAATATTCAACTTATAAAGGAAACACGACATATGAATCTCAAACGAGTGACGTATTCGATTCGCGAAGAAAATGTTGGATAATATATAGTTACACGCGTTAACATCACGAAACGTCGTAGTTTTCCTAGTCGGAGATAAAGAAAACACGAAAATAATCTACTATTCGACCAACGCATCGACGATAAATCGTCGAACTCATAAACGACAAGGGTAACATATGGAAAGAGAAGATTCGTATTCTAGTTTAATAGCTTGAAAGATTTGTCGTGCAATTGACGTGAATTGGGTTTTGAAGCGCAAAATTACTCCTGAAATTACATTAATCGAGTCGAATCTCGAACACGTTTAAAAAACGCGCGATCGAAAGCTACGAGGAACCTGTGGCAAACTGTGTATCATACAAAACTCGCATGCAGACATTTTCACGTCATCATTTTTTATTTCGCTCGTTTAATCCAATTTTTGCTTTACACGTCTATGTACATATTGATAATACGTGTGTGTCAAAGCGTTACATGCATATTGCAACGCAATCTGCTTTAGCATCGATGTATTTTGACGCAAGGCATACGCCCCTTCGACGACTTTACTTTCGAATCTCGTCCAAGAGGTTGGAATACTTATGTCAGGTGGTGCAAGAATCGTCGAAGTTGTGACGATATTTTTTGTAATCGTAGCGACATGCTCGCGTCTCGTTTTTTTATTCTCTATTTTCTTGTTTCTATACATTAAACAATTGCTACGAAACAGGTAAATATGGATGCAATGTCTTACGAAGAACACAGATGGTGAGCAAACATAACCTCTACGAAAGCATGAAATACCATCGGTTAGCGAAGCGAAAGATATTCCAAGATATTGGTTACGATAATATCGGGCAGAGTTAAAGAAAATCGAAAGAAAGATGTACTACACGTTTCGCATTACTGTAAATGGAAGAGATGATTCATCGATTTTCACGTTTTGCAATGGCAAAGAAGTAACGCTGTTATTTTAATGAATTCTTAAATCAAAATTAAAATATGCAAGCGGACAAAACATTCGTTTTAATAAACTTAGCCGCAATCTGGAAATGAATCTAGCAAGTGAACTGCCTTGTCAGTTCTCTTATTACGTAATGTCGTTGTCAAACCATACGGATATAGCGTAATGATGTAGTCGAACAAATTAACTCGGCGAAAAGAACACTCGTAATCGTTTTAAATTGAATCGCGTTCGATTTTTCTGTCAATCGCATACGAGAGGGCTAGGAGGGCAGAAAATACGTAGAGCAGTAAGCAGCTGCTAACAAGCCAACGTGGCCTGGGTTAACTCTTGATTCCAACATCTTTTTACTATTGTTTTCACCGATGCCGTAATATGTTTCGAATAATAACGTTTTACGGTAATTTCCGCAAGCAAACATGACAATTTTTTGATCATGTAGTAACGAAATACCATACAAAATATGGCGAGTGAGTGACGATCGAGTGTCTCTTTCCTCGGCACGACATTACGACACATGTACGCACACATGACTGCTTCGTGACGCGTGCAGAGCCGTGTACGTACACACACGTCTGCACGTATATACATACATATATACGCACACGAGCTCGCAATTCCTAGCCTGTACATAAGGAAAAGAGATGGCGAAGAATGGAACGAAATAAGAGTACGATTTACTTACCCGATTTCTGAGGAAGTCCTCGATGGCACGTTGCGCCGAGTCAGTGAGTTTCACGAAGATCAGGGACTTGTTTTTGTGAAAATTACTATGCGACGATAAACCATACTGGACACCTGCCGCCAGCGCCGCCATTTCTCTGTCTCTCAACAGTGGGTTCTCTCTCGCACACGTCCCCTTCGTAAAAGCGCACACAGCTGACGTCCTTGTTAGTTAAACGTATCACTTTTTTTTACCTTTACTTGTTACTCCGCGATACGAGAACGACGCATACAACGCGGTGAGAAAACACTTGCCGCAACGAGATAGATACTTTCACTCGGAACAAATCGGAGTAACGATGGAGAGAAACAGAAAGAAAGAAAAAAAAAAAGAGGAAAGTAGAGAGACACAAAGAGAGAGAGAAAGATATATACAACCCCCCCCCGAAATAGAGGATTCTTTTTGCACGTAGCTCTGGCACACACGCGTTTTTCCTTCGTTTTCTCGACGCGTTTCTTTTTTCACGATCTCCACCTTTGCCACTTCTTTACGTGGTCCGTTTTCTTCGTCACGCTTCGAAAGTGGTAGCACCCGCGCGTAAACCACCCTCTCACACGTTCCTGGTCTTCGTTTTCTCTCAACCGTCACATATTAGCGCACCGATACGTCTCATTTCAGATTTTCTCGCGATTGGATACGTCGAGGAGAGAGCAGCGCCCGTCGTTTCGTTGTAAGAAACTACACAACTACACTTTCGAACGACCACCTGGTAGGTGGGGCTTACGGGAGAACCATCAACCAATCCCGATTTATACTCAGATACCACACGACTGCGCACCCTACCGACCTCCTCCGGTCACAGTCAATGATCGACTGACATTCTTCACCGTACCGCTTCATTCTTTGGATATTAGTGCTGCCATCTGCTTTCGATTTCGATAATTCCACATATACATATCAATTCCGTGAGAAGATAAAATAATTTGCATACTTAAGTATTTATAAGTCTAATATATTTTAGGTATATATATGCATCATAAATTGCTAAATTAAAAAATAATATAATCAGAAAGGAAGATATAGAATAAAAATATATGTCTTTTTCCTTTCTATATATTCAGTGAATCATGTTACCGTATTTGCTCTGATTTGACAAATTTATTTGTAGGAACCATCTTGCTCAGTTATCTTTTTATCTATTTGTTTATTCATTTATATATTTATATATTTAGTTATTGACGACAATAAAGCTTTCTTCCAAATCAAATAATAAATTGTGAAATTTATTGAAAATGTTTTAAAAATCACTTATTTGGTTATCACGTACCTCGGTTAATAAAACATTATAGAATGTATTTAATTAAATACGCCTGTATATTATTTTTAAAAACAAATCATTCTTTTGTGCGAAAATAAGCTATAAACTCGATAATAATTCAGCCAATTAAAAATATGGTATGTATAATCAGAAAGGGACTTACGTAATTCACTGGTGTGGCAGCACTGCAGAGCAGTAACCTTATACGTCAAATATTATATATTCTTAGTCTAATTGTATAGAAAAGTTGAAGTATAAAATTTGAAGATGATTGAAAAGTTTACACCGCTAACTATTATAGTAACAGTTTGGATGAGCTGGTTTTTTTATACAACAACGTTCGATTTTCGAAGATATCGCTACTCCACAATGCCTTTCCTGCGCCCCGCTGCTAATACTTATGCTCGTGAAATAGAACTGGTAATATACAAAGAACATTTTCATCATCATAATATTTAATAGTTCATTAAAACAAGCTGTACCGAAGTGTAGCTATCGCGAATTATGAGCTCAAAAGAATTTTGGTAAGAAAAGTTGTAATAAGCAAGAAAAGATCTGGATTTTTTAAATTTATTATTAAAATCATCAAATATATCAACGTTATTTATGTCTTTAAAATGATTTATAAAATCTTCTTTAATTTCATTAAATTGTATAGTTACTGCTTTATGTAATAAGCAAATGTATATGTCTCAGAACGTTATGTGTATTGATTCAAATTTCAGGCCTCATGAATCAGGAGATTTGTATCCTTTATTTTAAGAAATGCACTCAATTTTTAAAGTCCTTAGTATGTGTTCAATTTGTTTGCAATTGTTGATGTAATTTCCCAAAATCACTGAATTTGTGTTTTGTATTATTTGTATATGTTTTATTAAGTAATAATATATCACTATTCGCAAAAATTGGTATCTAATGTTAACTCAGCAACGTAACAAGCAAGTCAAATAAAAGACTGATGAATTTTAGTATTGAATTTTAACTATTTTAATCCATCAGCACTAATAAAAAGATTTTTAAAAAGTAATATAAAATTGATGTGACAATGGGGAGATAATAAGCTCATAGTTCGCTAACAATATATTATCATTGATATTTGTAGTCAAATAGGTTTATAGTTTATTTTCATTATTTTCATTAATCTTCCATACTAATAAGTATTATTATTCTTTGTAGAAAAAGTTGGGTAAAGTGTACAAATTCAAAGAGCATCTAACCAAGAGCATGTACGAAGGAAAGTGAAGTATAAAAACTCTTTATATCGTTATAATGTATTTAATAGTATATATGTATATATCAAGAACTATAACTGTTGTAGTTATAACAACATTCAATAAACTATAATATGAAAAATATATTTATTTTTAATCAATATATGTGATATATTTTGGATAATGTAAGTTTATGTAACATATTTGCAATGTGGCAAAGTTCTTCTGACCTATGATTTTAAATTTTAATGTAAATCTTATATGTTTTTATGCTTTGAGAACATATACATCTAGTAACAAGAAAAGGTAAACGAAGAGGAATTAGGTATTAATTAAAAGAGAAATCAGGTATTTAGCAATTTATTTTTTTTCATCCTTATACTTAATTGTTTGACTGAAACGTCTTTATACGAAGAAGTCTTGTTCTAAAATAAATTCAATGAAATATTATTTAGTAATATTAACGTTAAATTTAATAAAAGGAGGTATTCAAGTAAAATATTTTGAGATTGATTGATTTTGATGTTTTATTAGATTTTTGTGAATTACCTTCCCCTGAGATAGCCGATTCCTTTAAGAAAGCCATCCTTTTCCTATCTCTTAACATTTATCATCTTATATCGCATAATTTTTGTTCCACTGTCCATTTAAGAGCACCCATTGGATATGATAAATTTATATGAATGAAAATTTAGACAAGCTGTGCAAATGGTTAATAGAATGAATAAACATAAAGTTAAATGTTTTATATCCGAATATATCATTCGTTAATGTTATTAGATAATTGTATCAACATTGTTTGATTAAATTCTACTTTGTGGAGACACAATGATTGAATGTTACATAGTGGTTCCTCTCTTGAGAGATTAATTAAAGTATATTGTGGTTGTTTACTTTGCATACAGAACAAATACCATGACAAGGAAAATCTTGCCTAAAAAAATTGCGCCTCCGCAATGTACAATAAATAACGGCGTCTTAGATACTAAGCTTTATTAACATTTACAAAAGAAAAACAGGTATTCTATGAAGTGCTATTTCTTTCTTTTAACAGTATTTCCTTTCGGATAGAGTATAGTATCCGGATTGCAATATTTTTAATCTGAAAGCGTCTTTTTGGGGATACTTTACGTCGCTAAAACTGAAAATGAGAGTCATTTTTCACGGAAATAACGATTTTGAAAATTCGGACTCATGAACATTTGCCAGACAAAGATCTTAACATAAATCCGTGTAAGATGATTTTATAAAGACGTTAAGAGGTAGGTTTACAAAACAACTGATGGCACAGCCATCAATGCCAATGCTCCAAATGCCAATTTTGCCGCTTACCGCATTCCGTTTTCTGTATGAAAATAAAAAATATGTTTATTTCTGTGGAAAATAACCCTTATTTTCGGTTTCAATAACCTTAAAAACCGCTAACAAATGTCATTCTAACCGAATATTTCCCAGTTCGGATACTATACTGAGCCTTCGTTTCATGTAATAAACAGGGAACTGTAAAACTCCATACAGAATATACATATGTCAAATGAAAGTAGAAAATATGAAAGAATAACACGTGATGAGAAAGTATACATAGCATACATATAAGCATAAGTATACATGTAACAGACAGAACATAATAACAAGACCATTGATATACCCAGAACATAAGAATTTTTAAGTTCAACGAACTGTGTATTTAGAAAATGCTTCATTTTGGTTGATGCTTCGCGTCCCAACAAGATGTATTTATATGTATGTATGTTTTGTAAGTGAATTTTGTGAAAATTACATAAAGACACGTAGTTATGTCAAAGTCATCGGATATTTGCTAATTTGCTGAAACACGAGGCAACATCAGATTGTGAATTTATAGCGTGACCGTGTACATATTATGTATGTACAAGTGTTATACTACATATACATATATACATAGGTTGACGCATATAAAATGTTGCAAGTCATTTGGAACTAGTGTGGATAACAGCAAAATTTTTCTAGATACTAAATTATTTAAGGTATATGATACGTATACTTGTATGATACGTTTTCTCTTTCTAAAATCATTAAATGCCAGAAATCAATTTGGCGCTATTCCTAGCAATTTCGATGTTGACAACTTGAAGCATTTCATATGAACCATTTATATGTATATATAGATATATATGTATATATATATGTGCAACTGTATATGCAATATATTTTGCGTTTATACGGTTATATTTTACATATGAGCATATTGTTGATGCAGAAATTATAAATTACAAAAAGATAGCCGAGACAATAAACGGACGCTTCGTATAACATGAAGATCCATGTCGTAATATACAGTGATAACGATGATAATGATTGTGGCAAAGAGAGATATGATGAAAACAATAGCAACAACGATTAGATGTATGAGCATTGTTTTCTTATTGATTTCGCTAACTATCAGACGAAAATCCAGAGGTCTCTAATAAAACTTACGAAATGTTAAATTATGGTTCTTACCTAATATTAGCTAGTATCGAAAGTAGAAATTTTTAATGAAAATTATTATAATGTGTATTTACTAGAAGAAAGATCACTAAGATCATTTCACAAACAAAGCATTTTATATGTATTTTACTCTGACATGCGTCAATTGTATTTGAACACTTCTGTACAATTAAACACTGACTTATAAAAGCAGCATCGATTGAAATAAAATTGGACAAAATCAGATGTTATTAATTAAACATGAGTCCTCTAGATTGTCGATGGTCTGTATTCAGTAAATTTCGTACAGTAATTATGGTGATAAAACATCGAGTCACATCTTAAATTTTATCTAATAATTCGTGATAATGAAGTTACTTCGATTGTACCTTTCACGTAAAATACGACGATATGGAATGTGGCACAATGATTCAACGACGATAAAACTCTGGTCAACTTTCCTCGTTTGCCGTTTATTCGCACTTTTATACTCCATTTAACTACTTCAGTTGATCGACAGATACCACTGTAACAATCTTTTTCGTATTGACATTTAGTTCGCGTAATTCTTGAATAGCATTGTCACTTAATAATTCTTTCTTCCGTTGGCTTATACTATATCACGTCATACACATTTCCTAATTTATCGATCGAATCTTGTTAACGTTTGCACACGTCGCCAAACAAAATTACCTCTTTCGTAAAATTTGTTTAAGAATGACTCATCATTATGTGCAAATGATTACAATCAATTTCGCACATATAATTTTATCCCTTATGTTGTTACGAACTAATCACGATGCACGTTATTTTGTAATTTGCACTAGAAAAATTTAAGAACTTTGATAATTGTTGGAAGTTTGAAAAAAGAAGCCATTACGTATTGTGCTATTTCTCTAAAATGGAGATGAA